GGAAAAAACCTGCATCAACCCTTTCTAAAGTTCGAGACCCTGAACTATGTATGTTCTAATCCCATTCAGCCAGAGCCAGCTCCAATCACACAGAGCCATATGGATATTTCTGACTGAATCCTTTGGTTTCAGCAGCTTTGCCCTGTGCTAATGGACAAGTGGGTGTTCAGCACGTTCCAGGAGCACAACCATCAGCGTAGGAGGAGGTGCAGCGAGACCAGTCCAACCAGTCCACATGGTCCTGAGCACATATCAGTCAATCAGCCGCTGTCTCAGGAATGATGCAACCTGCAGTTGCTCCACTGCAGTTGCTCCACTGCAGCCAAAACAGAGCAGCCTTTGTACGAGGAGAAGTCACTGTGCAAACACGGAGCCAATCACATCAAGTGCTGGGTTAGCATGTGTTAGCATGTGTTAGCATGTGCTAGCATGTGCTAGCTTGTGCTATTGACTCAGCTGACCTCCTTCTGCAGAGTTCACACAGAGTCAACACTAAAACATGAATAACAGTTTGTTAAACACTCAGTGTTCAGGGAGATATTTATTTGTGGTATTTTCACGTTAAACAAAAGTCCAATGCAACTAAACATTCAGAATATGTTGTTTTTCTTCCTCCAGGTGTCTTGCCAGTGTCTTCTGCTGTGTTTAGGGTTGAACCTGGAAACCCAAATGAGAGGCTGTGGTTTCTGACCCTCCACTCGATAAACGCTGATGTGACCAAAAGACATTGTGTATGTCTTTTTATGTACAGCACTTTGGTCAACCATGTTGTTTTTATTAGTGCTTTATAAATAAACTGGATTGGACTGGATTGGATTGTTTGGACACAGTATTTTATAATAAAGTAACACATGAGGATGTTGATGTTGGCGATGTTGGATTTCCACATATTCCCTCGTGGCTGGGGACAGACGAGAGAATGACCTGTCATTTAAACTCATAATCTTTCATAGAATGTAAGCTCGCAAGCCCCCGCCGGCGGGGGCAAACGAGAACAAAAATACATCTGCTGTCAATAGCAGATGTATTTTGAACTTCATAAGCCACAAGCTGTATATCATTTTAAAGCTTATTTTCTCAGCTATATTTATATTTTTTACCTTTCGTCTTCTGCTGCTCCAACAAATTAGACTTTCCCCATCCTTGCTCAGTCTCTTTCTCTCCGTAAGTCTTCATTGAAAAAGAATATCCACATGTATTTCCCAAAGTATAATCCATTCTTCAGAAATAATCCAAAAATATGCATTTTTCTGTTGCAAAAAAAACGCTTCGAAAGATGTTCAGGCTTCTCTTTCACATTTCACCAAGTTTGAGCTTTGTTTAGCCACAAACATCATATCCACGTGTTCCTTGAGTCCTTAGCTTCAAAAAGAGAGGTTCCATGAAAAGATAGGAGCAGGTTTCAGTCCGCAGGACCCTTGTGAAAAAGACGAACCACATCCATTTGCACAGGGTCCGTTTGGCCTTGTTGTTGATTACAGGCTAGCGCTATGTGCTAGCTCTGAATGATTGACGTGTCTAAGTAGCCAATAAAAAGAGCTTTCTGTTGATGGGTGGGACTTATAGGAACTCTTTTAATTTTCACAGTAAAAGCGTGTGTAAAAACCAGTGGGGGCGGGTCCCGGCTCAAAAGTGGCCAAAATGACGTGCGCTGACATGCTGCAGTACCACCCCGGGCCTGTGGGGGTGGACCCAGAAGTAGAATTAGCCAATGCTAACATATAGCATCTTCTTACCTCTCGAAAACGTCTTTACAGGATGGACCAAAAGTTGTCTCTTGGCCCAAAGCTCCGTTCCACATGTGTGTCAATGCTGAGTGTTCTGGACCAGTCTAGTTTAGTCGCTGTGGACTTTAGAAGTCTCTCGTTTAAATGAATGGAGCTGCTCCGGCTGACGCACGCACAGATGTGTTTTTTCACATTTTTCTTGTGGGCGGGACCACTCGCGGCCATTTTGGATAGCTCCAGTAGAGCACATTTTTGGCCCATTAGTTAGAACGGCGCAGATAGGCCTGACTCTGTCCTTTAATATATACAGTCTATGGTAAAGACACTGTTAGTACTGCTGCGCATATTTTATATGCATTTACACTACTAAAAAAATAATGTTGAACAAATGTAAAAGAAAATCACACAGATTTGTAACTTATAAGTACCAAAACTAAAAAATATGGTTTTTATGATGGTGAAATGTTAGTAAAGCAGTTTGGCACAATTTGGCACACATTTTTCCAAATTGGTTCCGAATGGCACTACTTGATAAAAAAGAGAAACTGCATAAAAACTATAAAACTTAGAAGTCTGAAACTTTACACAGTTGTTGTCAACAACACAATGAACAAATTGGCGTTGAAAATGTTCTTCTTCCAATGAAGTCGGCTTTTTTAGGGCATTTATACATTGACTTCAACTTCAAAGGATGCAGAGTGAGGAATGACATACATTATTTCAGTGTATATTTACATAAACTAGAAGGCTCTAGCTTTAAAATGATGCATCACACAAGCATATGAGATGTAAGATGTGTTTTTAAATAAGCAAAGACTTTTGGGTATGCCAAACTTTTGTGCACGAGCCAAAACAGATGTAGGAGTTTAAGAGGTTAAAGTAGAGAACATATAATTATACAAAGACAATAGCTTGGTGTCAGTAAAGATCCTGTACAAAAATAAACTGCTCTGAAATGCAGTGAAAAACTTACATCTGGGGTCGATGCTAATATCCAATAAAACATATAATAAGCACCTGATTCAGTCACAAAGTGCTGCTTCACTTTATCCTGGAGAAGGTGACGTCTCGTTATCATTATACACAGCAGAGAGACAAACCAGAGTCTGGAGTTCAAACCTCATTGAAATATGCATCGTGCCCTTGGGCAAGACGCTTCACACATATTACTTTCTTCTGTCAAAGTATGCACAGCTCGCTTCAACAGGAAAGGTAAAGGTACAGAACAATATCATGACAGGAAACAAACATATCAAAGGTAAATGATTGTGTTTGGTTAAAGCCGGGCTACGTAACTTTAAGAAACCACACTTTGCTTCATTAGAAAACTGTTTATGTTCTTACAAGAGCACCATGGGAGTCACTATTTGACCATTTGGGCCGAAAGCTGATTGGCTGAGTGGGTGGTCCTCTCCGTTTCACTTTTCCCTCTAAAATAGATGATTTAATGGAGGCACAAAAATACAGCTCAGAAAGGAAGAGGGACACATTGTACAGATATAAACCAGTGGCTCAGTTAGTTTGTCTCCCCGGGGGAGATCCAATGTTCCACATTCCTCCTGTGAAGAACATAAACGTTTGGAAAAGGTTCCATCAAAGGAATCAGAATCATTTTTATTGCCACATAAGTAACAGGAAGTCACAGACTTGGAAATTGCTTTGGCTCAGTGCAACAGTCAGAAAGAGATAATAAAAATAAAGAATAAAAAATACTTCTAAGTAATACATTTAAATTTAAAATAGAGTTACAGTTACTATTTACAATATCCAAGTGCACATGGTGCACACAATGTAAGGTGACAGCAGTACAGTGAAGTAAAGTGACGTATGATGGGCAGTAAAGTGACTTTATAAAGGGCGGGGGGACAGGTTAAGAAGTGTTCAAGAGTCCAACAGCAGAGGGGAAGAAACTGTTCTTGTGGCGGGAGGTTCTAGTCCTGATGGACCGCAGCCTCCTGCCTGAGGGGAGTGGTTGGAATAGTCCATGTGCAGGTGAGAGGGGAGTGGTTGGAATAGTCCATGTGCAGGTGAGAGGGGAGTGGTTGGAATAGTCCATGTGCAGGTGAGAGGGGAGTGGTTGGAATAGTCCATGTGCAGGTGAGAGGGGAGTGGTTGGAATAGTCCATGTGCAGGTGAGAGGGGAGTGGTTGGAATAGTCCATGTGCAGGTGAGAGGGGAGTGGTTGGAATAGTCTATGTGCAGGTGAGAGGGGAGTGGTTGGAATAGTCCATGTGCAGGTGAGAGGGGAGTGGTTGGAATAGTCCATGTGCAGGTGAGAGGGGAGTGGTTGGAATAGTCCATGTGCAGGTGAGAGGGGAGTGGTTGGAATAGTCCATGTGCAGGTGAGAGGGGAGTGGTTGGAATAGTCCATGTGCAGGTGAGAGGGGAGTGGTTGGAATAGTCCATGTGCAGGTGAGAGGGGAGTGGTTGGAATAGTCCATGTGCAGGTGAGAGGGGAGTGGTTGGAATAGTCCATGTGCAGGTGAGAGGGGAGTGGTTGGAATAGTCCATGTGCAGGTGAGAGGGGAGTGGTTGGAATAGTCCATGTGCAGGTGAGAGGGGAGTGGTTGGAATAGTCCATGTGCAGGTGAGAGGGGAGTGGTTGGAATAGTCCATGTGCAGGGTGAGAGGGGAGTGGTTGGAATAGTCCATGTGCAGGTGAGAGGGGTCGGCTGTGATACGACCAGCCCGGCCTCGAGCTCGGGCGACGTACAGGTCCTGCAGCGATGGAAGGCTGCGGCCGATCACTTCCTCTGCAGAGCGCACAATGCACTGTAGTCTCTGTTTGTCCCTGACTGTGGCTCCAGCGAACCACACGGTGATGGAGGAGGTGATGGAGGAGGTGATGAGGAGGAGGTGATGGAGGAGGTGATGGAGGAGGTGATGGTGGAGGTGATGGAGGAGGTGATGGAGGAGGTGATGGAGGAGGTGATGGAGGAGGTGATGAGGAGGTGATGGAGGAGGTGATGGGGGAGGTGATGGAGGAGGTGATGAGGAGGTGATGGAGGAGGTGATGGTGGAGGTGATGGAGGAGGTGATGGAGGAGGTGATGGAGGAGGTGATGAGGAGGTGATGGAGGAGGTGATGGTGGAGGTGATGGAGGAGGTGATGGAGGAGGTGATGGAGGAGGTGATGAGGAGGTGATGGAGGAGGTGATGGTGGAGGTGATGGAGGAGGTGATGGAGGAGGTGATGGAGGAGGGGATGGAGGAGGTGATGGAGGAGGTGATGGAGGAGGTGATGAGGAGGTGATGAGGAGGTGATGGAGGAGGTGATGGAGGAGGTGATGGAGGAGGTGATGGAGGAGGTGATGGAGGAGGTGATGGAGGAGGTGATGGAGGAGGTGATGGAGGAGGTGATGGAGGAGGTGATGGGGGGGGGGGGGGGGGGGGGGGGGGGGGGGGGGGGGGGGGGGGGGGGGGGGGGGGGGGGGGGGGGGGGGGGGGGGGGTGGGGGGGGGGGGGGGGGGGGGGGGGGGGGGGGGGGGGGGGGGGGGGGGGGGGGGGGGGGGGGGGGGGGGGGGGGGGGGGGGGGGGGGGGGGGGGGGGGGGGGGGGGGGGGGGGGGGGGGGGGGGGGGGGGGGGGGGGGGGGGGGGGGGGGGGGGGGGGGGGGGGGGGGGGGGGGGGGGGGGGGGGGGGGGGGGGGGGGGGGGGGGGGGGGGGGGGGGGGGGGGGGGGGGGGGGGGGGGGGGGGGGGGGGGGGGGGGGGGGGGGGGGGGGGGGGGGGGGGGGGGGGGGGGGGGGGGGGGGGGGGGGGGGGGGGGGGGGGGGGGGGGGGGGGGGGGGGGGGGGGGGGGGGGGGGGGGGGGGGGGGGGGGGGGGGGGGGGGGGGGGGGGGGGGGGGGGGGGGGGGGGGGGGGGGGGGGGGGGGGGGGGGGGGGGGGGGGGGGGGGGGGGGGGGGGGGGGGGGGGGGGGGGGGGGGGGGGGGGGGGGGGGGGGGGGGGGGGGGGGGGGGGGGGGGGGGGGGGGGGGGGGGGGGGGGGGGGGGGGGGGGGGGGGGGGGGGGGGGGGGGGGGGGGGGGGGGGGGGGGGGGGGGGGGGGGGGGGGGGGGGGGGGGGGGGGGGGGGGGGGGGGGGGGGGGGGGGGGGGGGGGGGGGGGGGGGGGGGGGGGGGGGGGGGGGGGGGGGGGGGGGGGGGGGGGGGGGGGGGGGGGGGGGGGGGGGGGGGGGGGGGGGGGGGGGGGGGGGGGGGGGGGGGGGGGGGGGGGGGGGGGGGGGGGGGGGGGGGGGTGTGGTCTTTATATCAAAAAATTATAAGAAATGCAGGGGTGATTCATTGCGAACATTTGCATTTGTTTCTTTCATCAGCTCATTTTGCTCAAATCAGATGGGAGGTGGACAGGCCGATGTAGACAAATTGGCTTATCAATTTAGAATATTGGCAGATGCGTCATCTTCTCTATTAATATTTGTTGTTATTTCTTTTGTATGAGTTTGATGTAACTTACCAATAAAATGACAGATCAGATCAGCACATGGTTAATTCCAATTTGATCCACACTTACAAGCTGCATCTGATCTGGATGCTATAAAGTGCTTCCCACATCTAGGCAAAGATTCTTTTCTAACAGAAGAAATTCATACACTGCTGCTGGATAACGCCTACTTTCATTCGTGCTAGGAAGTTGTTATCGAAAGTATGTTTTCTTACATTGGCTCCTTTACATATGCACTCGTGTCATTCGGTAGGTCCCATCATACTAAATGTCAGTTAAACAAAATTGCACACTGTACAATCGTTAGCTTGTGTACACCATGGTAACAGTATTGTTGGTTTAATGTTTATCAACAATGACTTTTTCTCAGTATCTGCACATTAGACCCAATGAATTCTCCAGTCAAGGTTACCTCAAGCTATCTCCTCAGCCTTTACACAAAACCTCCATGACCATAAGTGAGGGGGGGGAACGTAGATAAACGGAAAGGCTTCTTCACAGCCGGGAATGCAGGCCTGGAGTTGGTGCTTGAGTGTGCGAGCCCTGGTTGCTGGGTCTTTGCCCCACTGGGCCTGTCGAAGCTAGACAGAAGACATGAATTGAGTTCGCCCTCATGTGCCCTCTTTTGCCACTCTTTTAAAAAAATTATCTAAACAAAACATCAAACTACACACACAAACACGTTGTACAGTACGTTAGGTCTCTCTGCCCTGCAAAAGCATCATCAAGATTGGTGGGCCACTGAGCCGCCAGAATGGGCTGAATTAAGGCTCATTAATTTTCAGGCCACTATAAGCTCTCAGGTTGGGTTAGTGAAACTCACATGTATACGTTATAAATCCTTTTATCCGGATAAGGAATTATATGTTTGATCGAATTCTTCAAATATTAACGATTTCTTTATACTGCCTGAGGCAGGAACTTAATTATTTCCTTTCAGTTCCAAGCCCAATTTCTTTGTAAATATACGAACACCAGATAAAGGTTATTTACAATGCATGGAAACTGGAAAGGGACCTCTTTTTAAAAATTACGTTCGGCCTCGGCAGTAAAAAGCAATCGTTAATTTTGAAAGAATTAGCAAACATATATTCTTTTATCCGGTACTAAAGGATTCTATAACCAGTTATACTGTGAGTTTTTCACTAAACCAAACCTGAGAGCTTATAGTGGCTGAAAATGAATGAGCCTATAATCAGCCCTTTCTGGGATCAGTGGCCAACTCAATCTTGATTGATGCTTTGCATGGCAGGAGCGCCAAGTACTTGACAAGTGTTTGTGTGTGTATTTATTTTTGTATATATATTTTTTTTTTTAAAGAGTGCAAAAGAGGGAAAGAGAGGGCGAACTATGTCTGTCTTCTGGTCTAGCTCGGACAGGCCGAGTGGGCAAAGACCCAGCAACCAGGCACTCACACAAACAGCATCCCAACTCCAGGCCTGCATCCCTGGGCTGCCGTGAAGAAGCTCTTTACGTTAAATCTCCGTTCCCACCCTCATTATGGTCATTGAGGTTTGGTAAAGGCTGAGGAGATAGCGGAGTAACTTGACTGTATGACACATTGGTCTAATTGCAGATACTGAGAAAAGGTCATTGTTGATAAACAATTAAACAACATACCTGTTACACAGTGGCTGTACACAAGCAAAGACTGTGGACAGTGGTGCAATTTTGTTTACATGACATTTAGTATGATGGTACCAACCGTCATGACACAATGCAAAGGTAAAGGAGCCCAAGTAAGAAAAAAATACTTTCAGATAACAACTTCCATAGCACGAATGAAAGAGGCTTTATCCAGCTGCATTGTATTGAATTTCTTCTGTTAGAAAATAATGCTTTATCCTTATGATGTGGAAGCAGCTTATAAGCATCGTCAGATTGCAAGTGTAAAGAGTGGATCAAATTATGTATCCATGTGTGATTGATCTGTCATTTTTTGGTAAAGAGATACATCACAACACATACAAAGAAACATAACAAAAAAGATGTAATAGGGGAGAAGGAGTGCCGCATTGCAACTATTCTAAATGGTGAAAGGCCATTTTGTCTCACATCGGGCTGTCCACCTCCCATAGATTTGAGCCAATGAGCTGATGACAGAAACAAATGCAAACTGTTCGATAAATGAATCACTCCATTCATTTCTTATAATTTGTTGATTAGATAGACCACACACCACCCTGTATTGTTTTTGCAGACAAATTGGACTTGTTCTAGCAGGATATCAGTTATATCGCTTGGTTCGCTCTTTAAGGGACTCATCTGAACTATGCGTATGGATGGGCCCACTTTCAACCAAACCACATTAACTGATTTATTAACAATATGTGAGAATAATGTATGTTACCTGGTTACATAAAGCTTAAATAAAAAATGAAATATATATGTGTTTTTCAGGTCATGTTCCCTAATACTGTAAATCTAGTATTTTTCTTTCCAAAACAGACTTTGATTGGGTTAAGCTGAGGCGCTATTTATGTCCTGCCATCTGAAAACCTTAATAAAAAACCAGACTTCAGCCAGTGTCTCATGTTCTTTCAGGAGACTTGTTAGTCCACCCCAATCAACAGCTCCTGTCACATTAAATTATCTATCTTTCCTTCTTTTGTGATTAAGATCAAGGGCCATGTTATATGTCATGTTCAGATGTTCAGCAGTTGCCATCACAGAAAAAAAAATATATAAGATATAGATAAGAAAGAAATTCCTTTTATTCGTCCCACAGTGGGGAAATTTCGATGTTGCGCATATAGGGACAGTGTAACGAGCACACAGGGAAGCACACACATATTACAATATGTTGTAGCTAAGTTTCTTAGCAAACATAACTAGCTGTAGATGCTTGGAAAATGTCAACCAGTCCAAAATATATCTATGTAGTAGTAGAAATGTTGTATGTACAGTTAAATAGTGCAGGATAATAAGTAGAATAAAGTACAAGAGACCAAAGTGGACTTTTCATCTATGGATGAAAGTTGTTAAAATAAATCCTGCAGAGTTGAGCCAATATTGTATTTCTTACCAACACACAGGACTTTCAATATTTCTAAATGGAACTCGGTCATAACATAATGTAAACACAAGGTAACAAGAAACGTATTGACTAGTTTTACAGTGTCGTTCACTATTGAGGGACACTGGATGAAGACCAAAGCAGCGTAAGACTTATGTTTCTTTACGCTCTTAAGAAAGTTGAGAGATGAGGGGGTTTGGTCAGACGTTACAATCATAGACTATCCGATGCATGTCAAGTTTGTATAATAAGGCAAATACTGCGAATACATCAGGTGACCCAACAATGTTTGATTACAACGTATTCCTAAAAATGCTCCGGCCCTTTATGATGAAAAAAAATGGAAATCAGTTTTACCTTAAAAGGAGATCACATGGAACGTTCAGAAGAAGGGGGGGGGCAGTAGAAAAGTAGGAAAAGAAACGAGGACGAAACAGACAACAATTTCGAAAATAAGACATAGCAATGAATGACCATATTCTTCATAGCCAAAATTTGATATAAACATATTTAAACAGGCAGTATACAAACTTGGAGACAGTAACTGTAAATGGAAAATGAAAATAACCCCCCTAGGTCCTTACAACAAAGCCTGTGTGTCAGCACCAACGAAATCAGTACCTGTGGGGAAAGCGTCTTCTATGAAGAAGAAAATGAAATTATAGTGTGCAGAGCTCCATGTTGTTTTGAAGCCCTGGTATTTGTTTGTCAGATAGTGTTTTCAGTACTGTGGTTTAATGGCTGCCATTCCACCTTATTCTAAAGCAAGCAATCAAATGAGTTTAACACATTTATTCTTGCATCACTTAGCAGAAAAATTAAAAAAGAAAACATATAAAGAAGAAAACAGGATTCCAGATCATGCAGAAGAACAAGGCACTTGGAGTTTTTTCTATTGTTGGAGTATTCTTATCGTGACATTTATAAAGCACGGATCTTTGTGCACTAAAGCAATGTAGACTTTACACTGCTGTCTATGAAACTATTCTGAAAAAGTACACCAGCACATTAAACATGTGCTGCTGAATTGCCGCTAATTATTTACGGTCACGTTGTGCACTATGGGATAGACAGGAAAAAAAAAGGTAAGTAGAATGAGCGCCTAAAGCTTATGCTACCGGACATTAGGCCGACATAAAGTTAGGTGCATCGTGGGAGTAATTTGATGGTCCACTTGGAAATAATACTAAAAAAATATCATCGGTTTAATATAGTGCTTTTTGGACTTCAAAGGACACCTTCACATGCCTTATTTACTTCACTACATATGCAAAGGTGTGATTACACTATAAAACTAGCTCCAGTAGCCCTTGGAAAGACTCCAGAAGCGAAGCGGCAACAAGACATGATATCAAGCCCCCCCCTCAGATTCCCGCCTGTCATTCACCTCACTTTTAATGTACGATTCAGATTCCAGAATAATTGTATCTGTCATTTTGCAGTAAAACAATACTGAAAAGCAGCAAAAAAAGTTCCCCGTGTGCACCAGAAAAAAAGAAAAAGTACAAGGGAAAAAAACACTGAAATCAATACAACCAACAGAGTTTCTTTCAGTGCTAGGACCATTAAAGTGATTTGTTCTACACTGATAACAATTGTGGAATGAAGTGTTAGCAAAACAAGATTTCCTGAATCCCAACAAACAATATATAGTGCCAGAGGCGAAAGAAGCTCGGAAACATTGGCTTTTACAGGTTGGCCAGAAGAGTCATGCAAGTTCTTACATTTTGCAGAACTACTTGAAAGTGAGTGAATGACTTTTCAGTTTCCTCTTTGTCTGTACATTATGGTGAGCATTTCTATCC